TTTTTTTTTTATTTTCAAAATTTCAACGATTAATGCCTCATATACTATTTATTATTTAATTTTAGGAATTTTTATGGGTTTCTTTTTTTAATTTATTGTATATTGACTACTACAATTGTTTTGACTCAACTGGAGCGAAAGGATTTCCTTAAGGCGAACCACTTAAATGAGTTTTTAATATATAAGTAATGATAATTTTGTTTTGAAAATTTACAGGCATATTTTTGAGATGATATTCTAACGATATATATAAAAAAAAAAATCGATTTTTTTTTTACATGTATCGCCGGCCTTAATGGAGTCAGGATATTTCTATTAAATTGTTGATTTTGTAGACACAGAAGTAATTTTTACTCTTAATGATTTATTGATGAATATTTCTTAATAATGTAAAATTACACACTTTTTGATATGTTTAAAATAATTATTGATTAATAGATAATTGATAAATTGTCGATAGATAGACGATATAGTTGTCTTGTGAGTAGATGACTGACTGAAGAATTTTGTTTTAAGTGATATAATCAGAGGTTACAATTTGAGGAAATGAGGAAAGTGTCGATAGGTGTGATAACGTTATTTGTGCGAAATTATTGGTAGTTGAAAATTGTAGGCGTAAAGAAATAATTTGAAGGTAGAGAGAGTAAGTTAGAGAACAGCTGTTATGCACATGGTTGACAGGAAAATTTCTTCACAGATTAGAAAAAATATTCGTCGTCAGATGCAATAAAAAGATAATAAAAAATAAACTCAAGGATACTCAATCTCTAAATTTACAATAGTATTTAAAATTTTAGGCTGAAAAGTTTAGCTTTAAAAAGGTATTCTGGTCTAGAAATTTGAAAAATTCGAATTATTTTCTTTTGCATATTTGCAAAGTTTAGACCCTTAAAAATATGTCCTTGAGTGGATTTTTAAAAATCCGAATTATTTTCGGAGATACCGTGGATTTTGTGACGCAGCTGCTTCTGCTTCTGCTTCTTCAATAGAAGGCAGAACAGCTCGATTAGCAGAAAGAACTTCGCAAAACATCGAGTAGGAAGTAGAAGAAGGCTCAATTTACGGATCTGGGATTCGCGATTAATCCAAAGTGAATATTAAATATTATTATGAGTTATTTTACTGAAATCGTTTCTAAAACTTTAAACGCGATTTTCTCGAAACTACTTTTTTTAAAGTGGTTGACATGATATCTTAAGTTCTACCTCACCGATTCCTTTGAAATTTAGTGGGAATTTGTTTTATATATCTCTCTATCGCGTCTGCTATGGATTTCAAAAAATTTCAATTTGGAGTATTTTTAAAAAATTCAAAAAGGTCATAAAAAAGGGTAAAAAAAAAATTGATATTTTATGTCGACGCCATTTTGTGAAGTTTTTTTTTTTTGACTATAGTCAACGCGATAGCGACATCTTTACAGATTGAGAATTTCTCAAATTTTTTTGTTTCATATCACTACAAAGGCTGGAATCATGTCAACCAGAGTGCACCGTTATTTTTGTAGCCCCCACTTTACCGCCCTGTAATTTGACAAATTTATCATTTTTTTTTTTTAATTTTTTTTTATATTCTTGAAATGTCAATAAACATTATATAAAAAAACGAATTATAAAAATGTTTTTCATTTTTTTTTTATGAGTTTGAAAAATGCCTAAAATTTAGGCTTCTAGACCAGAATACCCCCTTAAATGAGGTACAGCAAATTCTAAAGAGAAAACTATTTAAAAGAATATTCAATAGCTTAAAGAAAATAAAATAGGCTTATGACCATAACCGGCCTAAAATTATTTTCTAATGCTAAAGTTTTTCTAATAATAAAAGTTTTAGTTAACAAATATTCTTATAAATAAAATATGTTGAAAAATTAACAAATTACTTTTACTGCTAGACGAAACATAAACGGACTCTTAAAAGTATGAATTAACAATAAATTATAATTTACAACATTTTTGTCGAAAAAATGAAGTAAAATTGAATTAAAGAAGAAAAATGTAATTTTTTTTTTAATGTTATTATTTTTTTCAAGGAATTAAAAAATTACAAGATATATTAAACAGAAAAAATATTGATGAAAAATTTAATAAGAAAATAACATTAGATTAAAAACTAGAAGTAGTAAAATAAAAGCTATTCAACAACCGAAATATGGAAATAGATTCTTTAAAGTTACTAATAACTTGCAGCATTTCTAAAATGAATACAATAGACTGAGAGACAAAATTCTTTTGAAAAAAATGAGCAATGTTGAAATAAGAAGTTAATTTGTTGAAAATTTTAAACAATTTTATTTCTTAGCTGAAGAAATGAAAATTTTTCTATTAGTAATTTTGAAAAAAAGTTTTTTTGAATCGAAAAAAAAAAAATTTTAGATAGACAACTTGATAATTTTCATCTAAAACTTTTTTTATCCCAAATGTAGAAAATTTTTTTTCAACGAGAAAGTTACTGTGAGTAAAATTATTATTGCTTCAGCTAAGAAATAAAATTATTCAAAATTTTCAACAAATTAATTCCTTATTTTAACATTTGCTCATTTTTTTCAAAAGAAGTATTTTCTCTTAGAGTAGCACATTCCATCAAATATTTGTAGATATGTGAGTAATATTTTGACAAAGAAAAAAAAATGACATGAAAATGGAAGCTTATTTTATGAGCTTTCAGGTGCATTCTATAGAAATTACATAAGTTATCGCATTTATGAGTTATTTTCATAAGAACCAAATTTTCATAAAGAATAACTAAGTTAAGTTTTATTAGGGTACGATAAGAGATGTAGACGCCATCGATATGTGACAAGCCACGCTATATCGTATAAAATATATATAAATTTTTGAACCATTCCGGGTAAAAATGATCAGACCTTGACCATGCCTGTTCATGTATGATAAGGCCTGAAATTAGACTTGATCATGCCTGTTTATATCTGAAGCGTTAAATACGGTCAGGCCTGATCATACCTGTCTATGCGTGTTTATTTCTGAAGCGTTATTTTACGTTATTTTACAGTTATTGTATTTTAAGGTGCAACAATTGATTAATTGAAATATTTTTCGATATTTTTAAAAACCCAAAATTTTGAAGAAAAAAATGCCTTTTTTATTAAATTTGATGAAAAGCTATTTTGTAACTTTTAAGTGCCGTTTTTCAATTAATCAAGGCTCAAATTTTAATAGATATCTTATTTCTTCTTTTAAGAAGTATTAAATTTATGACTCAATGAAATTATATAGATTAAATTATATAGATATTCATAAAAACGCAGTATATTATTTATTTTTTGATTATTATCAATGTTTTTAATCAACAGAAAAAAAATTTTTGTAAATTTTTCATTAAGCTATTTGAATTAATTGATTAATTTTTTTTTTATCATTAATCCACAGATTCGGTAGAATCTGGCGCCAAGTTCCGTTCAAATCCGTTGTCAACGGAACGCCAGACTACCGACTGTGTTTACTGTAAGCAGAACGGTATTTTGAGGTTGCAAAATTTTATTTAATTCTACGGTACTTTTTTTTTCCAAATTGTATATTATAACAGTAATTCATACTTTATTTTACTGTTATTAATTAATTATATTCACTTATAACAATTAATCTACTTGAAATTACTAAATTTGATCAGCACAAACTATAGCAACGCAAAAATTTCGATCCTGACTTTTTTCGATGGGCAAAGTGATCTGCCACAGACTAAATAATTCGAGAATGCATAGTAATCCTTCATTAGATGGGAAACTACAGTTAAAAAAAAGATATTTCACAGCTTGCATCTACACCCGCCAGGGTGCGCTGGAATTATTTTTACATAAACTATAGCTTCAAGGGAATAGTTTGCTATAAAAAATGCAGCCAACCCGAGATTTAAGTTGGTACCAATTGTAAATTTTTATTAAAATTACAAAAAATACTAAAATCCGAACAAAAAAAGTTTCACTGTAAAAAAATCGCGCCAAGTCCACCAAAAAAAATTTTGTTGTAAATTTAAAAATAAAAAAAAAATAATTTTTTCTAATTTCGGAAAATCATATACAATCATATTGGTTACTTGGATTTTTTAATTTTTTTATTTTATATCTTTTTGTAAAGAAAAAACGAATTTTTTTTTCTTAATAATCTTATGAGCGTGGACTTGGCGCGATTTTTTTTACAGTGAAACTGTTTTTGTTCGGATTATAAATTTACCACAAATAGACTTAATGAATAATTTTCTTTTCTAAAGTTAATTATTTGTATATTGAAAAATAAAAAAAAAATCTGATGCATTTTTTACAATAATCTATAAATCCGTAAATGAAATTTCAAAAATATGACAGATTCATTTAACATTACTCAATGTACAGATATTTTTATCGTATGTAATTTCACAAAATATATGTTTTTTTTTCCCAATAAATTTATAGTCGAAATTTAAGGTATGTTAAAACTAATACGGTTTAAATTGTTTACTCATAACTAAATTTTCAAATAACCAAACACATTATTCATCACTAAGCTGATAAGAAGCCATAAATACAACTATAACTATTTTATACTTATCAAACAAAATCATTGCTTACGAGTGATTAACAAACATAATAACAAAGTATTTTCCATTATTCAGTGAAATGTTCTTGTCAACTAACTGTTCACTGACTAACGTCGATTTTTTCGATATTTTACATAGTACACGTGTTATAAAATTACTATTATTATATACAGTAAACTTACAAATGTTGATAATAAAAAAAACGTAACGGGTTTGACGTACATAGCTTAATCTTATCAATACTGAACATATGTATGTATTTCATTCTTATTTTTCGTATTTCGTAATAATTAATTTACTTTTTAAATGCTACATTATAATTTATAGGCCATAAAGAATAATTTATTACCTTTATATTTATTATTTAATCAATGTATTTTGTCGGACAATTTAATCAGTGTATTCAAAATACAGATAGCAATGTATTCTTTCTTATTAATTTTTCTTCTTGAAAAGTATATTATTTCTAATATTTAATATTTTAATATAACCAGAATGGCAGCGCTAGAAACTGAAATTTTTTTTCAAGCCTCTTATGAAAATGTGTTTCTTTCCCGAAAAAAGATATCGTTTGATACCTCCATTACTAATTTTTTACTTGCTCTGATTGGTGTGTTTTAAAAAAATATCGATTTTATTTTTTTTTTCTAAGAATATTGAAAAACTGTTAAAGCACAAAAAGAAAATTTTTAGTTTTGTATCGTTTGGTTAATAAATCTGGAAAACATCTTGAAAAAACTCTGAAAAAAAAATGTTATGAATGGCCTCGATTAAAGTAACTATAACTTTTTCAAAATTCAACTTATTAATAAAAAAAAAAAAAAATACATCGTGAATGTCGAGTTGGGGTGATTTTTTACCGTGAAACTTTTTTAAGGAGGATGATTTTATCTTCAGAAATCAGAAACTGTTCTTAAGATTGTTATAAAAAAACTAAAGCAATATAACGTTTAATAATAATTTTTAAAGAGGAGTTTAATTCATAGATAAAAAAAAACTTAAGGATATTAATTAATAAATTATAAGAAATTTATCACATTCAAGTAGTGTAAGGGACACACTAATAACAATCTGATAATCACGCTTTTTTTTACTTATTTTTCATTCATTTTTTTATTAATGTGGAGGTTTTATCTCCCACCCACTTCGTTAGACTTAAATAATTAAATTATTTTATTTCATTTTATTTTTAGGATTATAATTATTAATTTTTTAGTATTAATTATATATTATTATTATTATTATTATTTAATTATTTTTTGCACTACCCGATGAAAAAAGATTTTGTCTAATTATATATAATCATGCATAATCGTCTATATATGATCAGATCCAAAAATTGGCCAGGTCTGATCATACATGTGGAATGGTCATTTTTAGATTTAAGTTTCTCTATTTTATTGTTTTATTGCACCTTTGTACTTAGCAGTAAGTATTTTTTCGAAAAAATTGTAAATAAAGGGATTAAGAAAAATTCTCAAATAATAGATGTTTAGTTAAGATAGTTTAGAAAATATTCGTATGCGTGGGAACGTAAGTATAGATTTGTCTCGTGGCAAAAATGTACATTATAAGTACCGAGAGTGTAAGAACGAAGTATGACTGATGAGGGGGTGAGAAACCCAGGTAGTAAGTAAGATCTAATTGTATGGGACCAGGGTTGCCAGATGCGGCGACTTATCGCCATTTAGGCTACTTTTAACAAGGCTCGGCGACTAAAATGTTATTGAAGGCGACTCGTCGCCAATAGGCGACTTTGGAAATTAAACAACAGAATGAAAATTTTTTTTTATTATTTTTATAAAAATTAATAAAGACTACGAAGAATTTTATCACAGTTTTTATGTTTCATGAATACTACTTGAAATTTAGTCATGTTTTATGTTAATTTAAATATTTGTGGAATAATTTTAATGTTTTGTGATGATTTTCAATTGCAATACGTATAATTGCACACTTTTAGAATGAGAAAGATAATAATTTAATGCTGATGACCGAGTGTGATTACCTGAGTAATTTAAACACAATATTATGATGAAAATATATGTTAATTCGTCTAAACTAATTTTATATTTCATGAATATTACTACATAAAATTTAGTCAATGTTTATGTTAATTTAAATATTTGGGGAATAATTCTACTAAGCTTGGTGACGATTTTCAGTTGCAATTCATTTGATAGCGCAGTTTAAAATAAGAAAGATAATTATTCAATGCCGATGACTGATTACGCCTTAGTGATTTAATCACAACATAACTATTGAAAGTAATATTAGAGTGTCCGTTATTTACCAATCTGGTTTTTGACTTTGCAGTGCTCATTAGATTTTCAGTTCGTGATCTAATAAAAAATATCAGACCCATATAAGCCCTTAATATTGATATTAAACCGTGCCACAAAGATGATACATTTCCTATTTAAATAATTTTGGGTTTTGGCACGTTGTACAATCAATTTTTTTGTTTATATGCCAATCTATAAATGGCAATGGCAAACAAGTATTTTTGTAGAAAATTGAACGTTCTATACATAGAAACAAAAAAAATTAATTGTAAAACGTCCCAAAACCCCATGTTATTTAAATGAGAAATGTATCGTCTTTGTGGCACAGTTCAATATCAATATTAAGGGCTTATATAGGTCTGATATTTTTTAATAGGTCACGAACTAAAAATCTAATGGGCACTGCAAAGTCAAAAACCAAATTGGTAAATAACGGAC